TGCCGGGGGAGGTAGCGCCGGTGGGAAGTCGGGGGGCATTGTCATCTCGCCGTTCCGCCTGGAGGAGCTCACCAACCGCCTGGCTTCGCTGCAGCAGGAGAACAAGGTGCTGAAGATCGAGCTGGAGACCTACAAACTCAAGTGCAAGGCGCTGCAGGAGGAGAACCGCGACCTGCGCAAAGCCAGCGTGACCATCGTAAGTACCCCCGGGGGTGCGCCGCACGGCCGACCTCCACCCTCCCCAGGGAGGGGCAGCACGCGGACCCAGGAAGCCTCCAGATTCCCGGAGACCCGCGGCGAGCACACTCCCTGTCGAGACCTACCGACCTCGGGGGGGTGGGGGGAAAGGTGTCCCTTCGGGGCCACGCGGGGCTCTTCTTCTGGAGACCCACGGACACGAGGGGAAGGCCACTGGGGCAACCACCGCAGGTCCCTTTTCGCCTCTGGGGAGGAGGCTCCTCCGAGGCTTGGCTGGAGGCGGGCGGCGTGGCTGGGGGGCGGGGTGGGACTTTACAGTATTAACAAATAAATTAATTAAAAGATCATATAATTTTAATTAATTAATTTTTATTTACATTTAGTCACTGTGCATTTTTATAGTGTAAAACATTTTTTTTCTCCAGCATGAATACAGGGCATATTAGTCAAGTCAACGACATTACTATATACATTATCATCAGCAGATAACTTCATTTTCGTGTCTGTTAAATGTGTTATTCATTTGTTTTTCCCTGATCCCTTCCCTCCCACCTATTACCCACTCCCTATTATCCCTCTCATATTAGCTCTAGTATCTACAGTTGCTCTCCCTGCTATTATTCCTTCTAGTTTTTCAGTTTCTGCTGTAGAGTACAGTCAGCATATATTAAGTAGGGACATATCATGCCTCTTAGTCAGGCTTGCTTTGCTTCCATATTTGTCTACTTTGTATTGAATGTCAGGGTCTCTATTTTTATGGCTGAGTAGTATTCCATAGAGTACATGTGCCACATTTTTTTGATCTACTCATCTTTTCTTGGGCAGTTGGGTTGGTTCTATGTCCTAGCAATTGTAAAAGTGCTGCCCAAAACATGAATGTGCAAGTGTTTTTCCAACTGAGAGTGTTCCTATCACCTGGGTAGATAACTAAGAGTGGAATTATTGGGTCATATGGAAGTTCTATTTGTAGGATGTCTCCTCTCATCACTTATTTAATATCATACCAGAAGTACTAGCTGATGCAATAATACAAGAAAAGGAAATACAAGCTATACATTTTAGAAGAGACGTGGTAAAACTTTTTGCTCACAGATGACAAGATTTTCTATGTAGAAAATGCTAAACACACAACAACAAAAAAACTGGAAGAATGTGTGATTATAGGTAGGGTGCAGGATACAGTGGTAATATTAAAAGTCAACTGCTTTCCTATCTACCAGAAATTAAAAAATAGAATTTGAATGTTAAACACAATAGTCTTTATATTATTAAAAAAAGATGAAATAAAACAGATATAAAGAAAAAAGCATTGGGACCAGCACATGGTGTAATGGTTATGTCACTGGACTCCCACATAGTGTTGACCAGGATTCGAGTCCTGGACCCCAAGGCTTAAAACACACACTGGGCATGGATGCATGTATGCCAAAAATCCGAGAGGAGAATGGAGGAGAAGGGGTTGTAGAGTGACTGTCCTCCCTGGATGGTGATGCTCCTGGCTACAGCATTCTTAGAGTGGGTATTTGGATTTTGGAAGAATCAAAGACCTTGCTATTACCATGCTGATAGCTTTTCCTAAGGATTTGCAATTTTAACTTGCCCCACTGAACCAGATCAGTAGGGAAAAGGTGGATTACCAGGTGCTCAGGGAGTATTTCCCTGAATGATCACCATTGTCATTGTGCACCTATCTCCATTAAATCCTTTGACTCTTAGCTTTGAACTTTTATCAAATAACCGCCCAAGCTTTGGGATGTGTCATGACCTTCAGTTACCTCCATACATTCAATTCTATCTGCTTTTCACTTCTTCAGAAATTTCCTAAATTTATTGGTGCACTGATAGCATTTTTCTTTCATTTTTAATACAGAGGTATTTAATTAAAAATACATCTTTCCTACCATTTTCAGGAATGTGGAGCAGAAGGAAATACAGTTGCATGTTCTCAATCTGCTGTCTTAATCCAGTATCCACAGAACATATTAAAAGATATTGTTTTTTTAAAAAGTAATAATCCAGGTACCAAGTTTAAGCCACATATATTTCAATACTTTTAGAGTCTCACTAAAACACTATAAATTTGATAGCCAAAAGGTAGAAAAAACTGACTTTAGAAATTAACTTTGTCTGAGTCTGGGACGTTCTATATACTATTATTTCTTTTAGTCCAGGATAATTAGATAATTGTGTTCATAAAGTGAATAGTTAGAGCTTTTAAAAATACATGGAGTACTGGGACCAGCAGATGGTGTACTAGTTACACTGCTGGACTCCCGTGTAGTTAACTACGGTTCAAATACTGGATCTGGAGGCTCAAAACTCACGTTGTGCGTACATACCCAAAATCTCAAGAGGAGAATGGAGGAGAAGGGATTGTGGCGTGGCCATCTCCCCTGGGGGATGACTTCACGCTTTCTGTCTGTCTCTCTCTGGTGAGCACACATGCCCTATAACAAAATCTCTCTTAAAGAAAAGAGAAAAGTGGGGGCGGGGTGGGACTTTACAGTATTAACCTGCCTGAGCGGTGCGTCCAGAATCGGGAAAATCCGAGTCTGGGGGAGAAGGAGGGCGCTGGGGTCTGTTCCCCGGGCTCGGCCAGGAGTGGGGGTTGATGGGGGTGCGCAGCTGGGCTGGGTACTCTGCTGGCATCTGGACGGCGGGAGCTGAATCGCCCGAGGAGGGGGCGGGAGAGTGGCCGGGAATCCGGGAAGTGGAGTTTTCTGGCCAGGATCGAGAGGGAAGGGCGGGTACCGGAGCGAATGCTCCCACCTCGGTTGGAAGTCCTTTCGTTTGAGGTTGGGAGGACGGGCACTGTACAGCGGGCAGGGTGTAGCATCTCGGACTGGCCTGGACAGGGCTGGGGCTGAAACCAGGGCGAAGGGTAGCGACTGTGACTCTGGCAGAGCCAGACGTACGTGTGTTTGCTTCATTGGTGGTAGAGTGGTTAGGAGTATCTTGCCTGAGTACAGAGACTTGCCATCTGTTCTGTTTCCACCTGCCCCCTGGAGACTCCCCAGAAGAGGGTAAGATGAGGTCTGTAGGTCTGTCTCCTAGTGTAGCGGGCGTTTAGAAAGGCTCCTATGGCCGTGATGAAGCGAAACATAACTGGAAAAAGTACGCTCTGTGCTCTCACCTAACATCCTTGCCAGCTTGCCACTTCATTAACATGCACAGGCCTCGCACAGACAACTCTATTCAGATCCAAAACGTTCCCAGCCAGGAGCAGAGCAGGAAATGTCAAGAAATCAAGGGGATAAATCGCTGTCACTGCTGCACAGTAGCTGACTAGATTCAACCTTCAGATGGAGAAGAGGGGCTGAATTTGGGGAGGGATCAAGGGCCACACCTTGGAAATGAAATGTGGCAAGTTTAGGATGCTCCTGTGCCAGGAAAAAAATAACCTTTGACGGAGGAATGAGTTTGTGTGTGTGTGCATTCCGTCAAAACGGCCCATCCATGAGAACTGGATGGCGTTCTTCACTGTGTAGAAAGCAGGTGCTCACCAAAGTGTCAGTGCGATCAGCCGCAATAGCAGTTGGTTGTACAAAGACCTCGAAGCCAGTCCTGGTGAATGAAATTGGAGCAATATTCAGACTGTAAAGTTCTTGAAGTGCCCTTTTGGTAGGAAGGGGGAAGAATTTGCAGAGGCAGCCACTTCTAAGCCTCCAATGTTAGCTTTCTTGGCGGAGAGAGATGTCTGCTCAGTAGAGGTTTGAGAAGAGAGGGAATTACACGAGGCTGCTTATTTAAGGTTTGAGTTAGTAAATGAGAGGGTTAGTCTCTTGGAAAAGTAGTAAAACTTCCACGAAACAGAATCTCTAGCTTCTTGCATACAGTGAGCAATTCAGGCTGTTTTTGTTCATTTGGGAGGGGAGGGTGGGGGCAAGTTAGACTATGAAAGGGTTATCTGTTTGACACTTTGACCATATTATAAGTAGGTCTGTAAATTGTACATAAACATGTCGGCCTCGTAAGGACAAACATTCTCGTTCCTGGTGTGTCAGATCAGGGGCCCTCTGATCTAAAGAGTGGCCTAAAGAGTGTGTAAGGGGGTAGCTTTATTAGCATTCACTCAACTAAAACGGACACTGAGCCGAGCGTACTTTATGACGTGCTCTGTAACCTCACTGAGTTAAGTTTTAAAATCATTTTGGATGATCGTCTATGAGTACCAGAAGGCTTTCAGTTCTTCACAAGTACCCGCAGCCTCTCAGTTCTTTAATCTCTGACTAATATATTCAAGGAGACAAATAAAAGTGTGTGTGGTTTGCCTGGCTCCTGAGAATGAGAACTTGGCAGGTGTTACTAAGGAGCTAAATGACAAATGCGGAAGAGAGATTCCTTCAAGGTTGTGAGGGCTTCATCAGCTGACCTAGGACCTAGATTGTGTTAGAATGCGTTTGACCTCACATGTCAAGGGAGGAGAAATGTGTGAGTCCATGAAATGGGTCTGTGGATGTAAGGAATTTGTTGCGCAAAGCTGTCTCATACTGCATGTCAAAGTTAAGTTGTACAGGGACCAGCAGTTGGTGTAATGGTTACGTCGCTGGACTCCCATGTAGTCGATCGTGGTTCAAGTCTTGGACCTAGTGGCATAAAAATCACGGTGTGTGTGAGTGTGTGTGTGTGTGAGCATGCTCAAGATGCTGGGAAGAGAATGGAGAAAAAGAGATTGTGGAGTGGCCCTTCCCCTGAGGGGTGATTTTTCACTTTCCCTCTCACTCTCCCTGTTACTGTTACTGTTACTCTCTTTCTCTGGCAAGTGCTCATGCCCAAATGCAAAAATCTCTCTCAAAAAAAAACCCCAAAAGACAAACAAACAAACAAAAGATCAATGTAATCAACTATATGAGAAAGCTAAACGCCCCCTAAAGAGAAAACCCCCCCAAAAAAAAAAAAAAAAGATCCCTGAGAGGAGACTGGAGGAGAAGGGATTGTGGTGTAACCATCCCTGGGGCGTGATTTCTTGCTTTCTGACTCTCTTTGGTCAGTGCACAT